TAGGCAGCTTGGGGCTCCCTGCATCTTTTCTATCACTACTCTGCATGGAAAAAAATTGTTTACACATACTGTTCCTGCAAAAGAGCTTGCCTTACTTATCTTTGTATCTCCAGAGCCCAGCCCAAACTCTGGCGCAGTTGACACTCAGTGCTTGCTAGCCGAGAAAGCTTTTAGCAGATAGAGAAATGATCGGGTACTACAGGGCAGAGTGACCGGCATAAGGAAGGACTGGGAATATCCTACAGAGAGTTCAGGAGGGTGGCCTTCTGAGTGACATGTACTCCAGGGCCGCACAATGTTTCCAGGGGCAGCTCACCAGCTGGTTACAGCATTCTTTCCTTGTCCGACACCCCAAAGTCATATGTGAGTCGTAGCATTTGTTGCTCTACCCCTACAAATCGACATGGTAACACCTATAGTTCCAACAAGATAAAAAAGTGACAAAGAGATACAAAGTCAGAGAACAATCTGAGCGGGCAGGGTCTCGGTTTAAGCAGTTTAAGTTTAAATGTAAGTGTCCATTTAAGATGATCCATGGGCTGGATCATCTCTGAAGCTCAACAGACTGAGAATATCATAACCAGGGTGCCCTAAACTGCTGCCAGAGCCCTTTCCTGTGCATGACCCAAGGGCTGATTTAGACTTGGTAACACACTTATGCAAATGACCAAGAAGTTTATTCTAGGGTGACGGAGCCTTTATTCCCAGCTCAGGCTTTCTGAGAGAAGCGTGTGACTCCCCAAGAAAAGTAACAACAGCCAATACACCTACATCAAGAAATAGAACAGAGGAAGAGTCCAAAGACAGATAGACAGACACACACACACACACACACACACACACACACACACACACACACACAAAAAGCCAGATCAACGTAAGAAAAGCTGGAAAGAATGTGTGCTTAAATGGCACCACAGACAATAACGTGTTTAGATTAAAATATGATAAGCCCAAGATAACAAACTAAATAACCGAAAAGTACAAATCACTTGGATGAGTCATATGCGCTGCCCCAAAGTGAGCGCGCAACAAGGCTGGGCTAAGTCACCGCCCTGGGTTTCACTGCACTGATTACAGCCAGCATGGACTCGAGTGTCCACAAATGCATCTCTGCCCTAAGGGAACTTACAATCTGGCTGGGGAGCTTGAAGTCACAGCCACAAATTAAGACACCACATAAGTCAGCAAATGCTGAAGGACAGAGAGAGAACAAGCATTGGGTGAAGGAGGTGAGACTCGGACATGCAGGCAAGAGCAGGAGGATATGGAAGTGAAAACACCCAGCAGTGTGGCACCAGGAGACGTCACTCTCGATGAGTTCTGCGCCTGAATGTCACACAGAGGTAAAAGTAGGGGGAGCATAACATTTATGCGCCACAGGAGAGTCACTTCTGAATGTGAGAGGGGCACTGCGAACAACAGGTCGCAAGTGATCTAATCACTAGCTGTCAGTGTGCTTTGTGGTGGCCTGCGTGTTGCTCTAAGGCTGGAAGCAATGCCAGGGATATTTCAAATCAAGGTGGCTGGATTTCAGCAGAGCTTCCAACTAAGACCAACTAGGACAAAGGGGTTGGTGATCTATTCCCAAAAATTAGCCAATGAAACCTTATGGATCACAACAGCACACTGTATGCCTTGCTTGTTTTGGATATACCATCAGAGGATCAATTGCTAGAGGGGGCCACCATGTTTGGTGAAGTAGAGGGCCAGTGGGCAAGGGAGACCTTCGCAGATGGACTGGCAAAGTAGTTTTGGGTATGTGGACACTGAGAATCACACAGGATTTGGAAAGTGTCATTCTGTTTCGTTGATGTTTGAGTCCATTGTTGCAGCTATTGTGCCAAGTTATCTTTGCCATATGTCAAAGTCAACATGATGATAGCTACCTACCTACCTACCTACCTACCTACCTACCTGTCGGTCTACAAGATGGATCTAAAATAGGCATTAACTGACACATTGCAATGGGATATATGGCAACCCAAACAACACGGCAGTTATTAACCACATACTTCTGGATCAGGTGATGGCAATGAGAATAAAATGATAAGGATAAATATAAGACTTAGTAACTGATATGGTGAGAGAACGAGAAATCTATGTGAATACTGCTTTATAAAAAATATGAACTCTGGTGGTGACAGATCACCTTCAGGTCAACAACCAAAGTGTGGTGCAACCACTGCTATTGAAGAGTTTCTATGTATTGAATGACTAAATTGACTGCTGCTCAGGGGGAAATATATATAGATATATATATATATATATGAACTCTGGTTGGAAAGCTAGGGAAAATTATTATAATCTTGAATTAAAAGATAGAGCAGTGAAGTAAATGTGTTCAAGGGGAACCAAGAGAGAATAGAAATGAGAAGAGGTGTTTCAAAACATCACGGAGGGATTTAGCAGTCTGTGTTACAAGAGTAGGCAACTGCCAAGAGATAACCCCATTATTACGCTCTTACTGAAAGAATCGTTGATTCTCCTATCTTCTCCCATTCCTTTCACTCACAGTAACTGCGATCTCCCAACTTTCCACTTGCTCTACCCAAAGAGGTTCTAGTTCTATAAACTATCAACCTGAACCTCTTGGTACTTTGTCCATTGTGAAAAAATTTTAAATACGTTACATTTACTAATAAAATCTCTCCAGTTTAAGTCTCGTTCAGTCCTAAACCAGATATTAAAGCTGAAAACACAAAACCTTTTCCCACAAATAATCCATTTAAATTTCAGCTAATAGACCAATCAATGCTTATGGATTGCTGCAGTCAAGAAGTCAAACAACATATTACATTGGGTAAATCTGCTCCATAAGACACTTTTAAAGTGGTAGAGCCAAGATGTCACTTTGAGGCAGGTGTATCTGTCCCAAGCCAAGCATTTTCCATCACCTTATGTATGGAAAAACTGGACCATGAAGGAGGAAGACTGCCCCAAGCCAAGCATTTTCAATCACCTTATGTATGGAAAAACTGGACCATAAAGGAGGAAGACTGCCCCAAACCAAGCATTTTCAATCACCTTATGTATGGAAAAACTGGACCATGAAGGAGGAAGACTGTAGAATTGATGCATCTCAATTTGGTACTGGCAAAGAATACTGAAAGAACTGTGCACTGCAAATAAGCCCATCTTGGAAGAAGTACAGCCAGAATGCTCCTTAGAAGCAAGGATGTTGAGACTACCTCTCATATACTTGATATGTTATCCGTAAAGATGAGTCCTGGGAAAAGAACAACATGTTTGGTAAAGTAGAGGGTCACCAGAAAAGAGGAAGACCCTTCAAGAGAAGGACTGACATAGTAGATGCCACAATGGGCCCAACATCACCATTGGGAGGATGTGCCTGTCCAGGCAATCGTTCATTCTGTTGTACCAATTCAAAGACTCACAGCAGCAACAGTAATAGTAACAAATCTTTCAAAATGATTTGATAAATGATCCCCAGGGAAATTTAGCTATTGTTTACAACTTGAGTGCCTAGCAAAAGAGAAAAATATATACACTTCCACAAAACGGTGTGTGAAATCTACAAGTGAGCAAAGTATTAACGTTTCCCCCTCTGATAAAGATTCCTAGAGCAAACTAGGATCACAGAAGACCTCGGATTCTCAACCCTGGCCAACACAGCACACCACTCTCCCAGAATCATCCTAGAGAGGTTGGTACTAAAACAGTCAATATACGGATTTGCTGAGTGGTTAACCCCATCTTTTGTAGGTACTTAGGAGTGGAAAAAAAATGGAGTTAAGTAATAAGTGTCTGTTCCAGGGGCTGCTCCGGCATTCTCTTTGGCTCATAAGTAAATAAAAGTTACTATAGTACATCTCATAGAGAGGTTTGATGAAACATCTGTTAGAAGTAATTTGTCAAGCTTCATCCACTGTTGAGATCATTAAGGAGCCCATAGCCAATGTTGAAAGGCTAAAGGCTAGGACAGGACTACTCTCTGTGAGGGGAGATCTTCAGAAGATTAATTGCCCCTCTTCTATTAGCCTGGGCAGCTTTCCACCTCAGTTGAACAAATAAGAGAAAAGTGTTCATTAACCCCAGCTGTGAAGACTTGTTTACTTTGGGACTTCACATTAATATGAAGAGCGAGCACACAGAATGAAGACTTGCTTGTCCGGAGTCCACATGGGCTCGCCCTACACTACTTCCCTAACTGCCTCAATATCGAACAGACAGCAACACACAAATGTGCTTTGCTTTCCCTCCTTCTGCTGTGTCTTCTTTCTTTTAGGGCCAAGCAAAGCACTTAAGAGGGCAGGCTTAAGGGACAGGACATTGAAACAAACAGAGAGCTCTGTCCTCCCGGGATGCTCGCACACACAGCCTTCGTGAAGAAAGGGCGAGTGTCCCACGTGCAGAAAAGGGAAAGCATGTGCGCAGCAGAGCGAGCTCTTCTGAAGCTCTCAACACCACCGTGGGAGTAGGCACACGAGTCACACCCTAGTGAAGAATCAATTTTATGACTAAGAGATTTTCTATGAATGTACATGCTACTTCTGCTACCTAAACACACACACACACACACACACACACACACACACACACACACACAGTTTGTTAAGAGTAAGGCGACCTTCTTAGCTGAAGGACTTTTACCATGTATTCCCACATATTCCCCAAGGAATGCTGGGAACCAGCACAGAAAGGCAAGTTTCAGGAGCTTTCCCGACAAACACAAGTCAGGGATAAGGGGTTCAAATGTGCAAAGTCTTTTATTCAAAATTTTGA